GGTCTCCTTCCATTTCCATGCAATTTCCCTTCTTTCTCCCTTTCCCTCCCACCTCTCATCCCTGTTTAATGTTAATCTTCTTCTCATGCTCTTCATCCCTACTCTGTTCTTAGTTACTCTCCTTATATCAAAGAAGACATTTGGCATTTGTTTTTTAGGAATTTTTGAACTAAGAAGAGAAAGGAAGAAAAAGAAAGAGTTACAAGCCACTTGCGGTTAATAGAGTTTTAAAATTTAATTCTCATGATAAGTATGTGATAATTTATCCCCATTATACAGATAGGGAAACTGAAGCTCCATGAGGGTAAGCACCTTGCCAGCGAAAGAGCCAGAATGGGAACCCTGTCCAACTCCTCCTGTACAGTTCATGGTCGTTTTTCACTTTCTACCCAAGCAGCAAGCTGGGGGCAAGGACTCCTACCTGGACTTGGAGCAGGTGGGTACAGCCTCAAGAAACCTGAGCAGCATAGAATGTACAATGCTTTCATTTGCATTTCTAGTTCCTAAGTACCGAGTAAGGCTCTGCCCTGGCCTTCCTCTTCCTTCTCACACAGAGCTATGATAACGATTTGGCACTGAGCTCAGGCCGGGCTTGGGCTGCCGACAAATACGTCATCATCAACAGTGAGCGTGCCACATCAACAGCCATCCAAGCTCGTTCTCTGCCAACATCCAAACAGATTCAACCTTAGGGATGCAGAGGCATCGAATGCTGCCAGTAATGAGAGGCCACCTTGAGTGTGTCCCTTCCTGGCCAGGGTGTCACTTTGACAGATGTCAAACTTAGCCTCACTAGAGATGGGCCCCTTATGGAACTGGAAAGCTGCTGTCATTTCTGATTGCAGATTCTCCCAGCCAAAAAAAGCACACAGTGCTCAGGGAGGTGCCAAATGTGGGGAAATATGGGCAACTTCCCTGCTGTTCGCAAGCACTAATGTCCCAGTGCCCAGCAGAGGCTGTGGCTGCTGCCAAACACAGCATTCCTTTAGGGCCCATTTGGTGCTAAATAAAAACTCTCCCCACTATTATAAATTCGAATCAGAATCTCTGCTTATACCGTTGAATTTTTACCCATCTGTACTCCCTGTTGGCGTCATCAAAACTGGCCCCAAGGACACATTATCAGGATCCGGGTGATTAGGTCCCCAAAAAATAGCTTGACATTTAGTCCAGAAAGTTAATTACTAACACAATTATCAACCCCCCCCCCCCCAAGGTTAGATCAAGTATCTTTGCAGGCAGGTTATCTCTCTGGTTTGTTTGTTCTCTGGGTGACATGTAATTAACACTTACAGACAATGCATTTTTTTTTTGAGTTTTTAAAGCCAAACATAAATATCTACATAGCTCTTCTGTCTATAGAATATTTCATTAAGCCCCCCCCCCGAATCCACCCACAAGATTTAAAATGAAACCAAATCTTAAACTAATTCATCAAACAAACTCTCCCTACTGAGGGCTGTTTGTCAACGTAATACACATCCTGCGACTTCTGCCCTTCTAGAATACTTTAGGCTTCTACATGTTACGATTTCCTCCATTTTTAGTGGATCTTTCCTTCTGAAGACATCTCCCATTCCATAAGGTCCGCAGACCCAAAGCTGCTCCAAACCATGAACATGGAGGCAGTTTATGTAACTGGTCCAAGGCAGAATTGGAAGTCTAGAAATAGACCTAAAATTCAGAAGTGATAAAACGGAGTGTCATGGATTGAAAGCCACGGTTTTACAATCGAGTGAGCTACCATCAGAAGTTGAATCTATGCTGAGCTGACCACTGAGAAAGGGAATTTCAAATAAATCATGAGCGTCACATGCCTGGCCTACATGATGGATAATCTCAAAACTTCTAGACTCCTGAAGCATGTGAGTGACATGTGAAACATCCCGCAAAAACTAACCTGATGTTCAGTAGTTTGGAAATTCCCCTTTACTGCTACAACTTGCCTGGAATTTCACAGAAAGAAAATCTGAATGCCAATTTGAGATCTTTTTTTTTTTTTTTTTTCCTCACTAACTACAATTTAAAGAATGAACAGTCAACTTCCAGCCTGGCTTGAATTAGCTCCCATCAATTTTACCCACCACCAAGTTCTTACACCTTTGATGAGAACTAATTAAGCTCATGTGGTGTTTTTTTTTCCCCCAGACTGCCTTTTGCTGTTCTGGAACAGAGCACACCAAATTAGGCCCATCTGTCTAAATGGGAAGGAGGTTATTTATCCCACGGACAGGCAGGCTTCCTTTACAATCTAGAAGCTGCCTCCCAGGTTTCTGAACACCATGGGATGAAGGGTTACCCCAACTCTTGATCAGCTGGCATTTTAAGGGCAGTTTAATGTTGTATCATCATCTTCCAATTCACAGCCATCATTTCCTTGTACAGTGAGCTATTCGAGGAGATCAGCTACCACATTAGCATCTCAGGTCAAAACTGCAACATCAAGAATTAGGGGCCTGGGGCCAGGTGTGGTGGTACATGCCTATAATTCCAGTGACTACTTGGGAGGTTGAGGTAGCAGGACGATAAGTTTAAGACCAGCTTCAGCAACTTAGTGAGGTCCTAAGCAATTTAGTAAAACCCAGTCTTAAAATGGAAAAAAAAAATATGGGGGGGGGAGGGGTTCTGGGGATGTGGCTCGGTGGTTAAGAGCTCCTGGATTCAATCCCTGTTACAAAAAAAAAAAAAAAAAAAAACAGAATTAAGAGTTGGGGGTAGAGGGCTTGACTAGCACGTACTGAGGCCCTGGGTTTGATTCACAGCACCATAAAAATAAATAAATAAAGTGCAATATTTAAGTTATTGTTCTGTGGCAATACGCTGACATGAAAGTATGTTTTCATTTAACTATGCGCCAACAGGGGAGACTAGTTATTTTAGCAGGGCACAGGAGTCTTTTGACACTGAGGTCACTTTCTTAGAAAGAAAGAAATAACCTGGCCATTCACACATGCCAAAGGACAAAGTTATAATGGGAAAAAAAATATCCCTTGGCAACAATGATGCCCACCAGCCTGCCTGGGCCAAGGTGTCGGGCTCCTGGGACAGTCAAGGCTTTCTGCCATCCACTGACACTTCTCAGCCTCCACTGACTTTATTAAACTAAGGCCCATCCCTGTGGACTACTAAATCGGTAAATGAGAAGCAAAGAGCATGAACTCATATTTGGCAGTCATGATATAACATCACTCCTGACCCAAGGACTCTTTTCGTAGGTTGAGTTGAGGAAAGAAATTAACATGCACAAGGACTTCAAGTGCATAGTTAGGTGGAAACACACCATGATCACTTATGGAATATATATCAATGGTATCCAACTGCTTGTTGGGTCCCATCTAGACTGAGAACCCTTTTATATAACATGAGAACAAGTATTAATAAAAAGAATCAGGTCTGGGGATATAGCTCAGTTGGTAGAGTGCTTGCCTCACCTGCACAAGGCTCAACTGGTAGAGTTCTTGCCTCATATGCACAATCCCCAGCACCACAAAAAAGAATGAAAGTAAGAATCACTTGTTCTTCATTAATTCTAAATTAGTCACATAATTCTTGTTTTTTTTTTCAATTCTTACCCTGCGTAGATTTACTTAAAAAATATATTTTTCAAAGTTGCCGATGGACCTTTATTTTATTTATTTATGTGGTATTGAGATTTGAACCCAGGACCTCACACATGCCAGGCATGCGCTTTATCGCTGAGCCACAACACCAGTCCCTACAAAAAAAAAAAAAAAAATTAACAGGACAAATAAGGCTTTAATTCATTCAGTATTTGTTAAACAGATTTAAAGACAAAGGGATGCTGTCATTCCAAACAGGTCCATAGCCTCTCGCTATATTAGAGGATCCCAAAGGAGCTATCTGGATGAGTAAATACAGAGGGCTGAGCCTTTTCTTCTGCCACCTTAGGAGGCCCTGAGGCACATATAGTAAATGAAACAATTTGAAAATGAAGCCAATAGGCAGCAAATTTAATTGATCAGTACAAAAGTCTCCATAAGTTATTTAATTGCAAACATAAAATAAGGGAACACCAGCATACACTGAGATTATATAGAGTTCCTAAGCTATTTATTTATTTGGGGGGCATGCCAGGGATTGAACTCAGGGGCACTCTACCACTGAGCCACATCCCCAGCCCTATTTTGTATTTTATTTAGAGACAGGGTCTCACTGAGTTGCTTAGTGACTTGCTAAATTGCTGAGGATAGCTTTGAACTCGAGATTCTTCTGCCTCAGCCTCCTGAGCTACTGGGATTACAAGTATGTTCCACCGTGCCCAGCTTATTTGTTTACTATTTATCACAAAGCTCAAATGCTCCACTCATGATACATGTAAAGGTCTTTACAAAGCAGCCCAGTGAATTTCAACATCTCTAGGTGAGAGAAGAGACTAGAGTCACAAAAGATGGTGATCACAAAGAGATCTCCATGATGTGGAAGAAGAACTGTAAAAAAGCCAGAGGTGATATATATCAGGATTATATTGCTGATTTTTAAATGTCCAGAGAAACTCTGATAGCCCACCTCTAAAACACCAGGTTTTATCACCAGATGAGAGGTTGGTGATTTCTTGCTTCTTGAAATTTTTATTTTCTTTTTTTTAAAAAATAGAAAAGAAGGAAAAGGAAGAAAAGAAAAATGAAAGGGAAGAGAGAAAAGAACTTGCCCAGACACCCCCGAGAGTCAATAAAAATGCAGTACACACTGGTCAATCGTAAAATCATCTTTGTCCCCAAGTTTAAAAAATGAAAACAAAACAAAACAAACAACAACAACAACAAAAAAAACAGTCTTAAATGACTGCGCAGATTTGGTCATACTGCTTCAGCCAACACTTATTCAATTTAATACCTGCAGACAAACTGGGCTGCTCTTTTGGGATCTGAATTGTTTTTAAAGGACAAGAATAAGTAGCCTGCAGATGGATGCCCCAGGAACAGCTAAAAGAAGGGGAACCACCGTGCTCAGCAGGACATACTCCCAGGGCCACCACTCACCACATCCAGGTCCTGGGAAACCCGTCGTTTCCGCAGCTCCTCCATCCTCTCGCACACGTCTGAGAAGCAGGTATTGTAATAGTCTGCATACTGCTGGGCCAGGTCGTCGATATTTCCCAGTGACCCATCCTGAGGGGGAGGAGGGCGGGGGAAAGAGACAGGAAAAGAACAAAGGTGGTCAGGTCAGGTCAAGTCAGTTCACCTGGGAAAAGCCCCACGGCCATCTGATGGCCCTCTACACAGCCTTTAGATTAAGACCTGTGACGTGGGCCAGGCTAGGTTTTACAAGTGGGAGCTCATCCTCGGGGAGGGCAGCCCTCTGAGATGGAATCTGTTCTTTTCCTCCCTGTAACAAGGAGTAAACAGGAAAGAAGGTGAGTGACTGACCCTGGATCCCAGGGCCCACAAGCAAAGATGCCAGGTCTCCAACCCCTGGGCCTCCTGGTGCCAAAGCCATGGCATCATCCCCACCTCTCTTGGAGAGGTGAGAGGCCAAGACATCACGTGAGTGACAGGCTCCTTGCCACTCAGTTGTGGTCAGGGCCACATCAGCACCTCTAGGAAGTTGATGAAAGAGACAGATGCCAGGCCCTCCTCTCCGCCATTCTGAATAAAGCCTGAGAACTCAGGTATCCACAGGGATGCTGCCTCTGGGATGTACTTCAGACCCTCCCAAAAGACCTTCTTCAGCAGTCATCAGGGCTCGTTAGTATTCATCATTCCTTACTGTAGTCATTAATATTCATATTATTCATCAGACCTATTATTCATGAGCCATTCCAAGTACAGGTGCAAGAGCGCATGTTAGAAATGCAGTAAAAGCATCGCCTGTCCCTTCCTGGAAGCAGGTGCCCAGGTGGTAGCCCAGGAGTTTATACCAGCTCTATAGCCCCACACTGGTTAAGTGGCCTCAGCGTCACCACTCACCCTGCCAGTCACACTGAAGTAGTTGACAGCACTTACCTAGCAGTGAACACTAAGGGAAAAGCTTGTGTGCGTGGGCACGTAGGCTGCCAGGCATACAGGGAGTGCTAGAAAGGGATTTAGCTCATGTCATTCACCACAAGAAAACGTCTCATACTGCGGCCTCCCTGAGGGAAGTCTTTTCCTCAACACGTCTGAACACACAGAGACAGGACAGAGATTCTTCTTCTATCAATCCATCTCTTCAGGAACACACTGCCTCTCCTCTGCCCCCTTTTAATCCCCTCTCCCTCTGGTATGAATAAATGACTTTACCAACACAACCAAGTAACATGATTTGACCGAAACAAATAACCAAATTGTATTTTAACTTCCAGATGACTGAAAAATGCACCCACATTCTCCACTGCTCTCCAGCCCCTCCTTAATGCTGGTTCCTTCAGGACAGCAACACATCTAGCTCTGCAAAACGCAGCCTTCGACATAAGCATTCATGGGGGTAAGACTCATCCACAGTCTGTCTGGTAAAACCTAAGCCTGTCAGATCTGGGTCACAGCAGGCCAAAGTCACACCCCACTTCTGCATTCCCTGGGTTTTAGGAACTAAGGGGAGAGGAGAAACAGAAATTAAAAGAAAGTATTTTTTTAGAAATGCCTCTTGCTTTCCCATTACTAACATGTTCTGCATTTCAGGTAGGTGCCTCAAAGTTCCTAGTGCAGAGCTGGAGAAAAGACAGACTCTTGCAAGGCCAGTAAGATCTTTGAAGGTTTAAACATGCCTGGGCAAAAGTCATCCTCTCTCCACAGTCGGCCTGAGATGACAGGCTAGACACAGCAAAGGAGGCGGGAGCCCACCCTTCCCGTGTTCACTGTCAAGTTTCCAGGAGGGAAATAACATCAGCCAAGACAGGACTTTGCTATGGACCTCAGAGGTCACCTGTCAGCCCACCCTTCGTCTACTGCCCCAGTGAAGAAACTGACTGAAAGCAGAATCTCCAGGGAGAGCCGGAGCCAGCCAGAATATCTTAAGATGGGGTTTCTGAAATACAGCATGATAAATCAAAGTACGATCCCAGATTGCCCCGACTTGTCTCAACACAACCACACAGGCCTGTGGGCCCTGGGAGGAACTTCTGCAACCTCCCAGCTGGATTTTTTGTCTCTTTCTTCACCTGCCCCATTTGCCCTTGACCCAGCCACCTTCACCTTGCCCAGTAGAGATCTGGCCAGGTCTCCCTCCACCAAGAAACCTCCATGCCATCCCCATCACACACTCTGTGAAATAAATCCCAAGTGTACCAGCCCAGCTTTCATTCCCCTTCACCTCTGGTTCCCTGTCCCAGGTGGGTCAAAAAAAAAAAAAAAAAATCCTGAGGCCTATAGACTGGACAGGACCTGAATAGCAACAGGCAGCTTCTTCCAGCAGGGGAGGGAGGAACGAAGTAGACCCTCACCCCACACCTCTCATCTCACCATCTGCACCCAATGCACAAGTGCCCCAGGAGATTGGAGGCAACTTGCTGGAGGAACTTTAGGAGACAGGAGGGCAGAAGAGCAGTTTCCATGGCGGCATCTGTTCTGACCACTCAAGGAGAGGGCTCAAGTCCGTGGATGCCCTGGTTATTCTAGAAGCACCTAAGCAGGTCCTAGGTCAAAGGGAGCAGGGTGCCCTTTGACTTCAGAATATCAGCCTTCTATGAGCCAGGAGTTTGCTTACACTGTGAAAGAGCAAAGCCCTCACCATCCCTGTTCGCTGCAGCACCTCCTGGAAAGATAAAGAAGTGCCCTTTCCAGTGTGTGTGGGGTGGAGGGGAGCAGGTCTTGTAACAACTGCACCCAAGAATCTGGTTTTATGAGTTATATCCCTGATCCTCACCACAGCAAGGGTCCCTGGAAGATCCTGGGCTATTCAGAGTTTTCTTAGTCTCTCGGGAATATAATGCTATCCCCATCCAGAAACTTCTGTCCTCATCCATCAGGGAAACAGACCATCCACATCTCCTAATACCCAAGTGTGCTTGCTGAAGAGGTTGCATTGTGCGCATCTTGTGGCTCGCTGTTCTTCAATGGAAATCAGTCCCTCTCTCCCCCACACAGGCACAACCACGAGTTGTGCTGTCCAAGCCGAAGCACTTCCACCTAGAATTCTGGCTTTTCTCAGAAATTACCAGTTTTCACATTTGTGTACTGTATGACCTGTCACAACTGACTGTTTTCTTGGAATAATCCAGGCCACTAGAACCGTATTAGAAGACAATTATTTACCTAGCTGTGTTCAACCACTGTGGCCCTTTTTTCTCTCTTCTCTCATATATCTTAGAGACACCTTCAAAGTCAGCTCTTCATTTCAGTTTCAAAGTTTGCCATCTACTGATCTTTTTTCCTAGCAGTGCCAGATTTGAATTCCCTCTCTCACTCTGAATCACTCAAAACTCCCTCAGTAATTTGAGGGCCTGAAAAACATACCGGTTTCGCATGAGGAGGAAAGCAGCTGTTCAACCCAAGAGAGGCCAAAGACAGCCAATATTTCACTCCCTCAATATGGCGCCATGGCCACTCCCCACTTGGCGCTCAGCGGGTAATAATTTAGAGCGGGGTAGCACAGCTGCCTTTACGTTGTCCCAAATCACCTTCCAGATGTGCAGTAAGCCCCCATAATTGCCACTTTCGTCCATCTTGATGATTTAAATGCCAAGAAGGGCAAAAGAATAAAAGAATGTGTGTGCCTGTGCTTTGAAGAGTAAGTTTTGTCTGCCATCCTCTCAAAAAGTCCTTTTGTGTCCCAATCAAGTGAAACCAGTGAATGACCTGGTGATTTTTTTTCTTTATCCATTCAAACTCTAGCCTCTTAAAGAAGAAAAATAATGATTAAGAGGGTGAGAGGAAACATTGGCAGATGATAAGTGTTTATGGCGTTGATGATAGTGATGATTTCAGTGGTATGTACTTATCCCCAGGCTCAATGAGTTGTAAACATTAAGTATGCACAGCTTCTTATATGTCCATGTTCTTTCAGGTAGTTTTTTTTAAAAAAAAAAAAAAAAAAAAAAAAAAAAAAAAAACATCAATTCCATGCTTTTTCAGAACTATCTAGCAATCTTGGCATCATTTTCATGCAACTTGTTTTTATTTGAGCTAGGTACAGACCCACTCAGTGAAAATATTTACTCCCACTGAAAGTATGTGCAACATGAATCTGTAGGGAATTTGAATAATGCAGATAATATTTCAAAAGCATCATACTTACTGCATCTTTCTTTCAGGAATGTAAAATCTGTGTCTGACTCCACACTCCACAATGCTAATGTTAAGAGGCATTGGTATTGCAAAATAAACTATAACTTTGAGTCATCTCTCCATTCACCACAATAAATACCTTTTTTTTTTTTTTTTTTGAGACAGGGTCTCACTAAGTTGCCTAACCTGGCCTTGAGCTTATGATCCTCCTGCCTCAGCCTCCTAAGTAATTCGAATTACAGGCACTCACCACTGTGCCTGGCAAAAACACTACAATTAAAACACTGGAACAGATTCCATTTTAAACCTTTTCTTTTAAGGATTCGAAGCTTCTGGGCTAGAGGTTATTACTTGCCTCATCTGTTTCACTTCTTTATTACTTTTCCCGTTTTGTTCTTAGGCATTAGGCATGAGCCAAAATTTAGGAACAAAGGAAAAATGTGATTTCCTCAAAAGATTTTTTTCCAAGTAGATTTTGAAACTTTGAGTCACGTTATGTATTTACAAGACTTTCCCACTCCTGTCTTTAAAAACAAGAAATGAGATACATGGAGATGCAAGTTCTCTTTCCTTTTCTCATTACAGAACTAGGTCGCTGCACCAGTACTAGGACTGTCCACCGCACTTGGTGCATGAGAATTAAATCTTGGCCCTAACCATCAGTGTCAGCTGTGGAAGCCACACTGTGTAGCCTTCCCCTCCAGGCCACAGGGCACATTTATACCCAAACTCATCTTTCATACAACCAACATAAAAATAGGGGATAAGGGGCATTGAACCAAACAGTTCACATCAGGAGGACTGTTGTTACAATTAAGGAGGAAAGAAATGGCATTGTTCTCCCAACAATTGGTTTAACAGTGTTTCTGAGATTTATCCCAGTGCACTTCTGTCTCTGGAAAATGTGAAAATTTGGAAGACAGGAGGCATGGGTATCATTACTCTTTTTACTTTTGCTCTCTTCTTTC